ATAGCAAGAGCAAGGGCCCTAGCGTGTGCAAAAGATCAAGAACAAGGGCCTAGCGTTCGCGAAATCGCAAGAGCAAGGGCCTAGCGGTGTGCAAAAAAAAAAGAACAAGGTGTCTAGTATGTGCAAAATTGCAAGAACAAGGGCCAAGCGTGTGCCAAATAAAGAGAACAAGGGCCTAGCGTGTGCAAAATAAAAAGAAACAAGGCCCTAGCGTGTGCAAAAATTGAAAGAACAAGGGCCTAGCGTGTGCAAAATTGCAAGAACAAGGGCCTAGCGATGTGCAAAATAGCTAAGAGCAAGGGCCTAGCGTGTGCAAAAAATCAAGTACAAGGGCCTAGCGTTCACGAAATAGCAAGAGCAAGGGCTTAGTGTGTGCAAAATAAAAGAACTAGGGTCTAGCATGTGCAAAATTGCAAGAACAAGGGCCTAGCGTGTGTAATAATAAAAGAACTGGGGCATAGCGTGTGCAAAATAGCAAGAACAAGGGCCTAGCGTGTGCAAATAAAAAGAACAAGGGCCTAGCCGTGTGCAAAATAAAAAGACAAGGGCCTAGCGTGTGCAAAATTGCAAGAACAAGGGCCTAGCGTGTGCAAAATTGCAAGAACAAGGGCCTAGCGAGTGCAAAATAGCAAGAGCAAGGGCCTAGCGTGTGCAAAAAATCAAGAACAATAGCTTAGCGTTCGCGAAATAGCAAGAGCAAGGGCCTAGTGTGTGCAAAATAAAAAGAACAAGGGTCTAGCATGTGCAAAATTGCAAGAACAAGGGCCCAGCGTTGTGCAAAATAAAAAGAACTAGGGCATAGCGTGTGCAAATAGCAAGAAGAAGGGCCCTAGCGTGTGCAAAATAAAAAGAACAAGGGCCTAGCGTGTGCAAAATAAAAAGAACAAGGGCCTAGCGTGTTCAAAATTGCAAGAACAAGGGCCCTAGCTGTGTGCAAAATTGCAAGAACAAGGGCCTAGCGAGTGCAAAATAGCAGGAGCAAGGGCCCTAGCGTGTGCAAAATAAAAAGAACAAGGGCCTCCTAGCGTGTGCAATTAAAAGAACAAGGGCATAGCGTGTGCAAAATAAAAAGAACAAAGGCCTAGCGTGTGCAAAATAAAAGAACAAGGGCCCTAGCCGTGTGCAAACTTGCAAGAAACAATGGCCTAGCGTTTGCAAAATTGCAAGAACAAAGGCCTAGTGAGTGCAAAATAGCAAGAGCAAGGGCCTAGCGTGTGCAAAAAATCAAGATCAAGGGCCTAGCGTTCGCGAAATAGCAAGAGCAAGGGCCTAGCGTGTGCAAAATAAAAAGAACAAGGGTCTAGCATGTGCAAAATTGGAAGAACAAGGGCCAAACGTCGTGCCAAATAAAGAGAACAAGGGCCATAGCGTGTGCAAAATAGCAAAAACAAGGGCCTGGCTGTTCGCGAAATAGCAAGAGCAAGGGCCTAGTTGTGAGAATAGGAAACAGGAATGAATGAACTATGAATGAAAGCAGTACAAATATGAAACCCTAACTGGGTTTGTACCCCCTAGGGATACCCCACTACAGCCTACACAGCAGTATAAGCTATAGATATGTTCTGACACACCCCCATAGGCAAAGTGGGGAGAACAATGGGGTCACAAGACCAGTCAAGCAAGACAAAGCAAAGTCAGGGTGGATCACAAAGTCACCACACAGTCCGAGCACAAGAGCAAGGCCAAAGGCCAGTTCACAAGCAAGAGTACAGGACATATATATAAAGCTAGACAAGCAAGAGCAGGTATATATATATGTCACAGTACAAGTGAAGTCAAGAGGAGAGCAAGTGAGGCAAGACAGGCACAAGACCCAGCTGGGTGCAGAAGCGCTGATGGTCACAAGGCGGCAAGTGCCTTGGTGAACACATCAGCAGTGTTGGCCTCAGAGGCCACGTACGCAAGTCGCAACTGACCACCGCTGCTGCAGCTCACGAGCAAGGAAGTAGCGGAGAGCAATGTGCTTCGTTCTGTGCTCCAAGCGCTGCTCTCGACACAAGGCCAGCATAGCTGTTGTCTACGTACAGCACTGGAGGAGAACGAGGCGGCTCTCCAAGGTTAGTCAGCAGGTAGGTGAGCCAGCGAAGCTCCTGTGCAGCCATGGCCCCGGCGTAGATCTCAGCCTCACAACTGGAGCCGAGAAACCGAAGACGAGGCGAGTAGACCCGCCACGAGACAGAGCCGGAACCAAGGCTGAAGGTGGTAACCCTGTGACGACCGCTGTGTAGCCTGGTCGTCAGCCCAAGAAGCGTCCGCGTGGCCGGTAAGGACCACTGGACTCCGCCCTCCAAGCACTAGCCCCATGCCTGACGTACTGCACAGGTTAGCGCAATACCCTCTTCGCTGCAGCCATGTGCTCCGGTCTGTGTCTCCCCAGGAGCAACATAGCGTGCAAGAATGCTCAGAGGGTATGCAAGGTCAGGTCGTGTGCAGGTCATCAGGTACATGAGGCAGCCAACAAGCTCCGCATACGGACCACTCGACTCTACGGACTCATCCGAAGGCAGAGCTGAGAGTGAGTGGCGAGTAGGCAGAGGAGTGGCCTGAGGCGAGGAGTACGTGAAGCCGAAGCGCTGAAGGACCTGCTGACCATGTGTGACTGAGTCAAGGTAATGTGCGGCGTGCTCTGTCCCGAGTGATCTGCAAGCCAAGGTAGCTGCGCAGTTCACCCAGGTCTGTGCACGTGTGTCTCTTCAACAGCTCGGACTTCACGTAGGCGAGTCCAGCAGTGTCCGCTGTGGCAAAGACCAGGTCGTCGACGTACACGAGGATGTAGAACGGCGGCAAGGAAGTGTCGGTGCGAAGAAACAGCGACGGGTCAGCAGTAGAAGGAGCAAACCCAAGAGCCGCAAGTGTAGTCTCCAGTGTGTCGTGCCACTCACGCGGTGCCTGGCGGAGACCGTAGACTGGCCGTCGGAGGCTCCACTGGGTGCCAGGAGGGAAAGTCCCAGTGAAGCCAGTGTGACGGCGAAGCCAGATCTCCTCGTGCAGGCTACCCTGCAAGAACGCAGTGCTGAAGTCGAGAGAGTGAAGCTCGTAGTCGCGCTGAGCGGCTATGTGCAGCAGCACCGAAGAGTAGTCATCTTCGGGGTGGGGAGAGAAGGTCTGAAAGTAGTCAACTCCCTGCCGCTGACTGAAGCCACGAGCAACGTACCGTGCCTTGAAGACAGGTGGAGAGCCCGGCGGCCGCTTCACCCTGAAGATCCACATGCCACTGACGATGTTCGCCCCAGGAGGGGGAACCGCGTCAACGTAGGTGCCTGTGGACTTCCAGGAAGCCATCTCTGCATCCATAGCTGCCTGCCACTGAGAGGAGTAGGGACCCTCTACGGCCTCCGCGTAAGAACGCGGAGTCGGGATGTCTAGTGCATCCGGGTCTCCCTCAGGGGCAAGCAGTACAGACGCGAGATGAGGTGAAGCAGCCGCTAGACACTGTAACTCCTCCTGCCTGTCCTCTAGGACGTCCGTGCCAAGAGCACACTCACCCCGACGGACGGAGGACAGACAGACGCAGACTCAGCAACAAGACTAGCAGCGTAGTCGAGACGACAGCGAGCAGCAAAGTCGACGAGCTCAGCGACAAGGGCAGACGCAGCAGTGGACTCAAACGAGGGGTCAGTGACGACAGTAGCAAGGAGACGCGTGACAGTGGGACTGGCAGCACGAAGAGAGTCCGACTCAGGGTCGGCAAGCACAGGAAGAGAGGACTCAGGAGGAGAGCAAAGGGGCACGCAGAGGAGCAGTGGACGGACGCAAAGACATCCGGTGCGTGCCAGGGACAGGAGGAGGACGCTGACGCGAACTGCGACCACTAGCGCGAGCAGCACGAACAGGCGACGCGGGACGAGACGCAGGCTCACGACGCTCAGCAAGACCTCCAGTAGGACCAGTGTAAGGAGAGGGAGCAGGCAGTGGAGAGGAAGGCTCAGTAGGGGCTGCGACTGGACAGGCGGTGGACCCTCTACTGGAGGAGAAAGACCAAGAACCTGCTGAAGGAGCGGAACGAAGTACGGCCGAGGCCGCGCGGCAGCTCCAGACTCAGCAGGGACAGCACCAGCACCCTCAGCGACAGCACCAGCGCCACCCACACCTCCAGCGGCAGGACCAACAGCAGCAGGCTCAGCACGAACGCCCTCAGCAGCTCCAGCTCCAGGAGGACCTGCAGGGCAGCAGCTCCGGGACCGGCTGCACCCGCACCCTCGACGGTCGAAGAAGCTCCAGCTCCAGCTCCAGCAGCACCTCCAGACTCAGCAGCACGCCTCCAGCGGCGAGCGAACCACTCGCGCAGCTCCTGTGGAGAGAGGGGCTCCGGCGAGACGCAGCAACAGGAGAAACCCCAGGCTCAGCAGCTCCAGACGCAGCACCCCCAGGCTCAGCAGCTCCCAGCTCAGCACCCCAGGCTCAGCAGCTCCCGACCCAGCACCCCCGACCCAGCACCTCCAGGCACAGCACCCCCGGCTCAGCACCCCAGGCTCCGCACCCTCCGCAGTAGCACCCTCAGGCCCAGCACCCCCAGCAGTAGCACCCCAGGCTCAGCACCCCCGCGCACAGCACCCCCAGAGCAGCACCCCAGGCTCAGCACCCGCAGCAGCACCAGAGTCACCAGTAACCTCGACCGGGTCAACGGCGTCTACCTGGGACACACCTGAGGGGGCAGGACCTGAGGGGGGAGGGGGTCTCTACCGGGGGGGGAACCGGCACAAGGAAGTCCGGGGGAGGGGGGAGGGAAGGAGTGCGGTAGGGGAAGAGACGGTAGAAGGGACTGACTCGTCGAACGTGACGTCCTGGGAGGACAGAACACGACGAGAGGAGGGGTGGTAAAACTGCCACCCTGGGGCGTCAGTGGGGAAGCCAAGGAAGACACAGGGAGCAGCACGAGGGGACAGCTTGTCCGCAGACAAGTCGCGGACAAACGCCCGAGATCCCCAGACACGGAACACAGACGCATCGCCAACCTTCCCCGTCCACAGCAAGGCTGGGGACATCGCTGGCCGAGAGACCCGGGGTGAAGGTTGAGCTGATGCGCCGCGTACCTCACCGCAAACGGCCACAGAAAATGGGGGGCAGCCGCATGCATCATGGACGTACGAGCGACATCCATGACCATGCCAATGCGGCGCTCAGCAATCCCATTTTGCTGTGGTGAGTCCGGAAGCGTGAAGGTCTGGCGGATCCCCCGTGCACGACAGTAGTCTCGCAGAAGGCGAGAAGAGAACTCTCCGCCTCTGTCAGAGTGCAGACGCAGAACAGGAAAGTCCGAGCCGAAGCTCTTCCTGAGCTGGAGACGAGCCTCGCGGATCCAGTCGATCAGCACCTCAGTGACCGCACCCTTGCTGCGCAAGGGGAGGACTGTGGTGTAACGCGAGTAGTCGTCAACCACCAACAGGAAGTAGCGCTCGTAACCCTGCCCACGGACGGGGGCTGGGCCCCACACATCCATGTGAAGCGTCTGCAGGGGAGCCTCTGTCGGGGGGAAGTGGGAGGAGTGAGGAGTAGCCCGGAGGCGACCCTCGACACAGGGGACACAGGAAGGTCCTGGCCGGGAGGGGAGAGGAGGGAGAGACTGGGAAGACCAGAGACAAGGACACGGGAAGCCATGCTCCGAAGACGGGGCAAGGAGGGGTGGCCAAGACGGTGGTGCCACAGGAGAGTCTCGTGAGACAGGAGGCGACAAGAACAGGGGGGCAGACTCAGGACCTGACCGGGACGCAGCAGCAAGTACCTGACCCGACGCAGCCACCTGACCAGACGCAGGGACAGGAGGAGACTCAACGGTCAGGGTGTAGAGACTCGACCCCGGCCGACGTGAGAACGTGGCCAGGTGTCGGCCTGTGCGAGCCTCCGTGCAGTGGGTCACCTCTGACGCGCAGGAGTGAACTGGTGAACACCCCATCCTACAGGTCCGCTCCACTCACCAAGTTCGTAGAGAACGAGGGAAGGTACAGACCGACAGGGTGCCCGAAGGGGCAGCCGGACACGGGAGGACAGTGGAGAAGTGAGACAGGACAGGACCCCCAGAGGGGTCAGCAAGGGAGACCGCAACCGTCCTGGCGAGCGGCGAAAGGGTAGTGCGGTCTCGAAAGAAGAGAGCGAGAAGCTCCGGAGTCAAGTGTGAAAGTGAGGGGGAGGACGAGGACGACTCAGTACCTGAGAGCGCAGTTCTCACCAGTACCTGAGAGCGCAGACGCACTGGCACCTAGAGCAGCAGCCTCACAAGCACTAGCGCAGCAGTACCAATGCCCGGGTCGGGCTGAAAACACCGGTAACCCTCATTCTCCTCACTATAATCCACAACATACATAGCAGTAAGGATAGCATCAAAAGTCAAGATCAAAGATCGCTACACCAGCCCTGAGAAGCTCATCCCAGTGAGGGATCTCATTAGCCCCAGGGAACTGTTGACGCCAAGCGTCCGTCAGGCGGCCAAAGCAGCGCTGGGTGGCCGTGGGCACCCCCACACTGCTCACCGCGCGGTCGCCGGAACGAAGAACGTAGGTGCAGGGACCAGTACCCCCACCCCTCTGACGCCCAGCGTACCACTCACGAAGCTGCTGAGGCGAAGGGATGTCCGCGGAGCGCTGCTGCTGCTGCCGGTGCGAGCGCTGGCCACCACCACCGCCGCTACGCTGCTGGGTACCACCTCGACCAGCTCCACCTCCTCCACCACTACGCCTCCTCCGCTGCCGCCTCCACTGCCTCCACCTCCGCCGCCTCCACCTCCGCCGCTGCCTCCACCACACCACCGTGGAACACCACCACCGTCTCCGCCGCTGCTGCCGCCACCACCACCACCACCCCCGCCACTAGCCCCGCCGCCACCCCCACTCCCTCCGCCGCCACCGCCGCCACCGCCACCGCCCCCTCCAGCTCCACCCGCGCCCTTGCCCCCCTTGCCCTTGCTGGAGCGACGTCTCCCACTAGGGGCAGACGCCGCGCCGACCGACTCAAGACCAAGCAGGTCGGCAGCAGCAGCAGAGGCAACAGAGGGCAGCAAGGGGGAAGGAGAGCACCCCTCAAAGATGGGGTGCGAGGGTCACCACGAGAAGCACCTACAGCGACTATGCTCTTCTCCGCTGCAAGGAGGGCCTTCTCGAGGAGGTCGACGGTGAGAGTGGTGGGACAGACTGCGAGAAAGTGGTCCCTGACGACGCGAAGGGAGTCAGGGAGGCGTGCGACTACGTAGTAGAGAGCGATGTACATGGGGGGGGGGTTCTTAGCGCAGAACTCAGCAGGAAGGGCGGCGCGGTAGCGAGGTGTCACTAGTGCGGAGGGCATAATGAGGTCAGCGACAGTGGGAAAGGCAGAGAGGTCAGGAAAGAGGTAGGGAAGCATGAGACGGCTCAGTGCAGCAGTGGCAGGGGAGGAGTAGCGCGCAACTACAGCGTCGTACAAGGTCTGAGCACTCTTTGTACTGACTGAAGTGCGCACGCTCAGAGGTAGGGAGGTGGCGACGCACAGCAAGACGTGCAGCAGCATCGCGGGTGGCCCACTTAGAGCGGACAGCGGGATCAGCATCAGCAGCAGGGGCAGGAGAGGCGCCAGAGGTGAGGTCAAAGAGAGAAAGGTCGTCAGCCCTGTCGCACTTAAGAACAGCTGCAGGTCGTCTAACCAGACCTCCAAAATCAATGGCGCGACCCTCAGCGTCAAAAGCTAGGACACTAGGGGTAGCCATGGTGACGACAGCGACGCAGTGCAAGCAGTAGGGAAAGAGCTCGCAGTGTCAGTGGGACAGTGCTCACCAGGCAGGGCAGGTCGTGCAGTCAGCAGAAAGGCGGCTCAGCGACCGGGGCTCGGGTGCACAGCTGCTCGGCTCCCGGGCGGCTCGGCGGCTCTGGGCGGCTCGGGCTCCCGGCGGCTCGGCGGCTGGGCAGCTCGGGTGCAGGCAGCGGCGGATCGGCTCCGGGCGGCTCGGCGGCTGGGAGCTCGGGTGCAAGGCGGCTGGCTCCCGGGCGGCTCGGCGGCAGGGCGGCTCGGGTCCCGGGCTGCTCGGGCTGGGGCGGCTCGGCCGGGAGATGCAGGTCGGGCCGGCAGGTGCAGCGTCGGGCCGGCAGGTGCAGAGTGGCGGGCCGCAAGTGCAGCGGCGGGCCGGTAGGTGCAGCGGCGGGCCGGCAGGAGCAGCGCGGTGCAGGGTTGCAGACGGCGGGCCGTAGAGTGCAGCGGCGGC